CTGTATATATATATTACACACAAGTCTAAATAAAAAGATGAAATCATAGTTTCATCATCATACAGTTTTTAATTTTATTTATTGATCTTCAGTATTAATCCATTAATGACAAAGTTTTCCAGTTTTAAAAATTTTCTTTTTAATAAACAACTGCATTAAAAGAAACAACTAGTTTCCTTTTTATATCTAAATTAAATTGAAAGTTGAAATCAAATCAAATGATTTTTTAACAATTTGTTTTAAAGAGTAGTTTGTATTTGTAATCAAAGAAAATTGAAGCTTGGTGCATACAAGGCCTATATATATATATATATATATATATATATATATATATATATATATATAATTATTTAGAGGTTGCCAATCAACGTGTTGATCGGCTGAAATGATAAAAGTTAAAAAGTAGACGATCAAATAATTTTCCGGACGATCAAATTTTTTGTTAGTTTTTATCAAATTTTATAATTGTAGTAATTTTTGCATCACACTTTTGTGATGCAAAACTTACTACAATTGTAAAATGTTTGTGCTTGATAGCACTGCTTATTCTGCAGAATTTCCACTTTGTTTTAAGTTACGAAACAATAAAAAATAAAATTTATACTGGGCCTCGTTTTAAAGTGTGGCGTTATAAATACAAAAATTTTTTTGCCTTTCAAACATTTTAAGTGTTTTGTTGTAAATGCACTTTAGCAAGCCCTTATTAAAAAAAAACTTTAAACTTAAACCAGACAGTTGTTTGGCTTAAATATTTAAAAATTTATGATAAGTTGTTCGGGATATCCTAGCCTATCATAAAAATTAACAAATAAGAAATTAAGTTGATCAAGTTAACTTTTGATTCGTCATTCCATTATGCAAAGTCATTCATTCAAAACATTAAAAAATCTTTTTTTCTTATCACCTTTAGATATTTTTAGCGCATTATTAGATTGTCATTAACTTTTAGATTTTTGTTATGAATATCTCATTCATTTATGATTTTTTTTTTATATTTATATTACAAAATTTTTTCGTTATATTTATAGTATAAATATTTTACTATATTTACAATATAAATATATATTTTACATTCATTTAGTTAAAACTGTAGTTTGAAATACTGTTTGCAACATTATAAACCATTGTTTAGTAAAAACATTTAAAATTGACAAAAATACGCAAATTACATCAAAGTTATCATTCATTTAAAGTTTTTAAAATTAAAAGTTTATTTGAAATTGAAAAAACAACACGCAAATTAGATCAAAGTCATTCATTCAAAGTTTAATTGCAAAAATGTTTCTTTCTCTTGCGTTCTACGCAATAAAAAAGCTATTCAAATTTAATGATCAAACTTTTTCGGTTTCGTTTCTGAAAAGAAATGGTACTTTTTTGAAAAAAAACGATAGAAGAAATATTAGAAACTTTTAGGTAAACATTTGTTGATTGAAACTTTTACACAAGAATATTTATTAAAAAAATAAAATAAAATACTGTTTGCAATTGTAATTTTCTTTCATAAGTTTTTACTTTATTCTTAGCGGGTGTTTCAGATCCTGATTTCCTTTTAAAAGAAATAATTTTCTGTCGCTTTTTTCTGTATCCATTTTATGATTATTTTTATACTTTTTATATAATTTTACTTGTAAAACTTTTTTTCTAAAAATTTTAAACAAAAACAAATTTATTTTGCTTAAAGCATTATTGATGTTTTATGAAGTCAACATTTTTTCTACCAATCATAAACTCGCATTATTTACTATTTTTCAAAATTTTTCACATAAAGCTTTACTGTTTCTAAATAATAATGCAAATTTGATTCATTAAAAAAAAATTAAATTCATTCAAAATAGTTCATTATTGGGAAATAAACTTTTTGTTTATATAAATTTTGTAATACTTTTTTAACTGATGTTTTACTTTTAATGTTTTTGTGTTGATGTTTTACTTTTGTCTTTTTAAGGGTTTTTTGTGACGTT